TATTAACCAGCTCTTAATTAACCAAGTCTAGAAAAGATGTGAAAATTTGCCTCTCTTCTTGGCTGTTTACAGTCCCACTCATTCCCACCTGAGTGTCATGCACAGATCTAGTACAGAGCATCCAAGAATACCAGATCTTGCAACCATTGTCCTCTGACTTCTCAGAAAAAGCTATTTTACTTCAAGATCGAAACCTAATCATCAGTTTACAGTCTGGAAGATGAAAGTGTTGTAAGGCATTAAAATGACACTATCATATCTGCGTTACATCATATGTATCACCCATCTATCGCATCTTAGGAAATGATAGGATGGGATGAAGCTCTGGACTGCTGAAGACCACAAACTTTGTATCAGTAGACATTTCCAAACCAGAACTTCAGTGGAAAGAGAAGTCCATCCAGAATTGAAGCTGGAAATATATTTTGCTTGTTAAGTTAGTCAAATTCTTACTTAACACCACAGAATATTGCTTTCTACTAGCCATAAGAGTTGGTCTTCAGGTGGGACTCCCAATCCATTCAAAAATGAGATCAGATACATGTTCCACCAGAACTTACCCAGGAAGGGAACAAATCCTTCTCCAGGAATGCAACAATGTTTGCTTTCACCCAGGAGCCCAGAGTCACCTTGTAAAGGAGACAGCAGGCTCCTGGTTGGAAGAGATTAGTAATGGAGGCACCTTGAGTAAGAAGCAGCTTCATATACTACACCAGTCAATTCATGGGACCCCATCTGTCATTTCGTCAAAAGAATTAAAAGCTAATTTTGGTACATGCAATAGAACAACAACAGCTGATCTTGACAGACATTCTCTCCAAACAACAAAAGCTTACAGACTCTGACAATGATGCAAGTGCAGATAACCAGGAGCTCTGTGTTTGAGCACACAAACACTGGGGAGTTGCACTTGGCTGGAGCTGAGATGCTATGACCTAACCACTAGGGTGTGAGATACAAAGCAAGAGCCAGGAGTTAATCCAAGAACTGAAAAATTAGAGGAAGAATGTTCTAATGACTCAATCTTCAGTGCCTCTGCTTTTGGTCTCTTCCTTTGTTTTGATCTGTCAGACAGCTGCCCTCAGAGATATCTGAAACAGGCATTTGCAGCTGTTACAGACAGTTGACAAACGGAATCATTCAAGAAGTCTTGCCTAGATTAGACAGAGAAGGAATTTGCAACACCACTTTAAGAAGACAAGACACATGTCCTTTTTAAAAGTTATGACCCTGGAATTAAAAGCGTGTATTTCCTTGTATTGTTGCAGTTTAGAGACATTAAAGCATGGTCTCTTGGTACTCAATGGACTTGGGTTTGTGTTAGTGACAGAAAAAGACCGCTCCTTCCCAAATCTGCCTGTGCGCCTCAGCTCGCTGGTGCTAAGAGCCAGGAGAACACCTCTGTGGTCTGCTGCTCCTAGGACAAGTCCACCTTCTTGAAAACCATAAAAGTTAAAGGCTTCCAAATGTTAATAAATGAACTATCTGTAGATCATACATGAGAAAGCTTTCAGTTGCACTGGTTGCATCTGTGGGGAAGCAGAGCTGGGAACTGGATTTCTGTGAAGAGATACAAAGAACACGGTTTAGTGGTACACTGGAAAAGCCCAAAGGAAGACAAGGCATGGAGGTGTGTACCTAATGCAAACGAGAAATTGCATCTTCATTTGGGTCTTGAGGATGTGTTGTAATAGGGCAGGAGGTGAACCAAATTGGGCACACGTATAGAAGAAGCTCTAACTGGCACAGAGCTAGCTGTATCTACACAAGCCAAGTTTTTTGTTGGTTTGTTGTGGGTTTTTTTGAGTCTCAGCATACCATATATGATTTTCTTCTATAGTGAAGAAAATGCTCTACAGCGAGGTCTTTGCAGAAGCACACCAAATTATGCAATATCAAATGAGCTCCATTCTTCAACTCTTCAGAGGTTGTCCCCTCAGTTGTGTCACAGAGAATCCCATCACAGACCACATGCTCGAGCATCAGACTTGTCTGGGACTCACGTTCCACCGGAGCACTGCTGGTGGTGGCTGCTGGAACACAAGGAAGGACTTAGCCAGGAGGGAGGTGGTGGGGAGGAGTTGTTCCAACTGAGCAATGCATGGCAAGCAGCAGGCGCTGCATCTCAGCAAATATGGCTTCTGGGAGCTAGGATCAGTAACTCCAGCTGGGCCATTTGCTTAGGCTTCCTGCCAAAAGATTTATAAAAAGAACAGTAAAGAACGTGCAACGGCTTTAAAATATGAATTTCGCATACAGTGCGGCCAATATCCACATTTGTTGAGGCTTCCATCCCTCAGCTTTTCTCTAAGGCTCAGCAAGGAATGCAGGGAGTTTCTCCTGCTGATCTAATTTTATCCTCTCAGAGATATCTACCAGCATGAAGGAATGAATTAGAGCCAGTGCAGTTTCCTAATTACTTCCAGCTCTCAGAGAGAGACCCAAAAGGTACTAGGGAAGCAAGCACAACATCGCAAAAGTGATAAACCGGCCTTTAATTTGTGCGTTGCTGTACATGGAGGTCTTGTGGTAATTTACTAATAGGTGAACCCAGCCTTTACTCAAATTAGTGCATGTCCTAATATCATAGACATTTCTATGAGTTTAAAGTGAAACAGAGTATGGTGGCAAACAAGAATGGCTACTACGTAAGGGAAATATGCAGGTGGTTTCCCCATCAGACACATAAACTGGTTCCTCAGATGCCAGCAATGACTCTTTAAGCAAGATGCAACTTTCCATTACCTAGTAGGTTTTCCATATTCTGTATCCGAAGCATGTTAGCATGACTGGAAGTGGGTTTATGAAAGTTCACAGGAGAGCTGGCCCTGTCTGTACTGAACCTGTGCCAGCCACAAGGAGCTTCATTACTAAGGTTCAGC